CTTCTCTTGGCTTCAACCAACATTATTAGCAAACTTACCCAGGGGCAAAAAAATGGATCACTCTTGTAAAAACGATCGGTAAAAGGCTGAGCCTATCGTTCATAGTCGATACATTCATCCAGCCGCCTACTGTGCCCTCTCTCTGCCGTCGTTCTATCCATGAGGCTGTCAGACAAATAATAAAGCATATAGCTTTGCAACAGTAGAAATGGTGTCTCCCAGGTCATGTCGTTCTTATAGTTTTATAATGAAACTGTAGGTTTCTCACTTTGTCATTTTGAACTGAATGCTAACACTCCACTCTCTCAGCTCTGTAGTAAAAATGTTATATCAGTTTCTGCCAAACTGTGTGTTTGGATTCAAATGTGAGCTCAAAGGTTCCTGTATTTTTCCCACTCTTTCTCTCTCCAAACGTCAGGTGGTCACAGCCATTGTGGAATCTGGTAAGAACATGTCAGCAGAGCAGAAGAAGACTGATCGCTGTCCACTCCTCTATGAGTGGCACAAGAAGCAGTACATCGGCGCTGCCCACGGCCTGGCCGGCATCTATTACATGCTGATGCAGGTAGGAGAAAACAGAACGCGGTCTGTTTGAAGTCAGTGGGTTTTTAAAAACGAAAGATTATTTTATTCCTCTATGTAAATAAGTTCGAAAGTATTGCTAAAGCTAATGTTATCTGTCATGTAGTTATTTATGGAGAAACACTCGAAGCTTCTGATCTTCTGGTTGATGATGCACAATAAATTGTGTCATTTTGCTACATCAGAGAAATGAAAGTATTTCTTATTGATGTTTTTTTCCAAATAGACTGACTTTCATTCTAGAGTAACATTTAATATCACTTGTATATAAGATCACGCATTTATATACTGTAGCCACAAACACACACGCATAAATGCACAAAGTGACATCCATGTAAGTGAATCCAGGTAGTGTGCTTGCAGTGTCAGCGTTGTTGAATCTGTATTTTTGCTGACAGCTCTCGCCTGCAGCCCGTGCTGCAAGCCACCTGCCACCTTCTTTGTGAGCACTGCAATCTAATTATTGAGGAAAAAACAATGAAGAGAGGCCAGAGACTGGATCCAGATTTCTCTGTACTCATTTTTTATGTATATGTTTACTGAAAAAAATATATAATAAAAGCACCAAGTATGAATTTTACTTTACCTGAAAGAATGAAGGATTATTAGCTGGAGGATTATGTTTTCCTTAGTGCTGTTATATCAGAATGGGCTGAAATCTGTTATTGATTATAGATTTGGGCAGATAGACTCTTTATCAGTATTCGGCATTTGGAAGAAGAACTGTTTGATTAGTGGTGTTGGCAGTCAGTAAGTCATTGATTTAAGGTTTGCTTAATGTCTGTTGTTTCTTACTGTTCTGGGCTTAAAGCCAGTAGAGGAGCGGCAGACATCCTGTAAGTGTTGTTGGCGGCTAAGATGAAGCAGTTTTGTGTGAAATCCTGCCGAAGCATGGCCTACAAAGAACGACCAAAGTGTTCCCACTGTGCATTCAAATGCTACTGGGTATTGTTAGCAGCTAGAAATGTGTTTTAGATATATTCATATATGCACGCATGTCAAATTCATGGTCACAGAAGGACTCGAGCTTATCCCAGCTGTCACATGCATACAGTATGTTACTGTGTGCATGTACCATTATGGGAAAAGTCATCATTTATCAATTTTCAAGCAATGTAATTCTGAAAATAGTCACAACAAATACATTACTTAACAGGGCAGCCACAGTGCTCAGTTCAGATGTGTCTTGAGATTGTATTGTGTGTGTGTGTGTGTGTGTGTGTGTGTGTGTGTGTGTGTGTGTGTGGGCTATAAATGCTTACTTAAATCTTGACTTATTAGGCTTATTAGACTTATTAGACTTATTAGACGTTGGCAGTCAGAAGTTTAAAGTAACCTAATGAAACATGTTTGACCAGAAGACAAGAATTCATACTCTAATTATGATAAAAGTTGACACTAATGTCAGCACAATAAAAGGTCAAAGATACAGATACGGTCTGGACCGTAGAGAGACATGAGCGACCAGCCAGGGACTGGAATCACATGGTTTTCAGCATTTCTGGTGCTGGCCAGGGATTGGCACACACCGACAAAAAGTCGTACGCACCCTGACGGCCGCACACTAACATGTCCTTGTAGTGAAGGTATAAACTGTTCCAGCTAGTTATATAAATCTATTGGACGTGCTGTTGTTTGAAAATTCATTGCTGTACACTCACCTTTACCTCAAATTGTTTCCCTTACAATGTAATTGTTTGTACCTGTGGGGTGCCAGTTTAGCTCAGGGGTGAGCCATGTGCCGTTTGGCAGGGGAGCAGCGCTTTGCCCCCCTCTCCCTCTTCCAGTTTTTCTGTCACTCTTTGCTTTCACTGTCAGATAAAGGCAAAACATTTCATATGGCCAAAATAAATCAGAAAAAACTGTAAGTAGCAAAATCTGACTGAGTAAGAACACAAAAAGATGGGTGGCAACACAGCAGATCGCCATGGCAACAAAGATGATTCCATTATTCATCTTGTGATTTATAACAATAGCAAAAGCCTGATTTAAAGTAGCTCACTGAAATCTGTCCACAGACTTTTGTGTTTTCTCTGCTGTTCACTGATGTTCTCATTAACACATGAGAATCCATCTTCCTCTGTATGAATAATTCATGACTGTAGCAATCAAAGTATGTGTTGAGTCCATTTAGATCTTATAAACATCTGCTCTGAAACATCTGCTCTGAAAAGCTGTGTTTCACCAGCTTTTCTGCTGCCATTAGGAAAGGTGATAGTCACCTCCTTTTGGGGCATTTAAAGAGAATTCTGTAAATGTAGAGCTGAACAGTACAATTGAAATTAAACACTGTCCCTTTCAGTCTGGAGCAAAAGTCCATCCAGACATCCTGTCAGAGTTGGTTCGCCCCAGCATCGACTACGTCCGCCACAAGAGGTTTCGTTCAGGAAACTTCCCTTCATCCCTGAGCAACGAGAGCGACCGGCTGGTCCACTGGTGCCACGGAGCGCCCGGTGTTATCCATATGCTTATCATGGCCCATAAGGTGAGAGTTCTGCGGTCAGCAGCCACCCTCTCTGTCTAACACGCACACACAACACTGTCACCTTGTGGCACAGCTCTACACTGCATGAACAGTTTGTGTTAAACATATTTGTGAAGCATGTATTATTTGACACGTCAAAGAAAAATCATGTTGTTGATGGGATGTTGTTTCGCCTGGCGTCTAACACTTTGGCTAATTTCGTTTTTTTTCTTGGTCCATTAGGAAGCTACATCACAGCCAACATGCTGCCATTCTGGCATTTTGCTCTTACTGAGACTCTGCTTTTTATTTTTTGCTGTTGTTTTGGCACAGCGAACAAAGCACTGCACTTAACAATGTTCCGCTAGTAACAGAACACAACAACTGTGCCGTTTGTGTCACGCGTTTAAACATTTAAACTGCCACATGTTTTGTTAGTGGCAGATTTCAGGTCGGCTGTTGAAACTATGCTGCATGCACACGTTGTGCTCCCACTGATGGAGTTGTGTTTTTACAACAGCAAGTTGAATGATTTCAGAAAATACGATCCTGTTCATGAGGCAGAATAATGGTGATGTATTATCACAGAGGGATGCTCCATTATTAGGGCTTGAAGTTCTCTTTCACTGTGCTGGATCTCCATAAATGTGATGTTTGGACTAATTTCGCAATTATTTGACAACAGTAGGCATACTGTGTCATATTCATAGTCTCAACCAAGACCTATTACATTATTTTATGGCTCTGACAGCGTTGCTTGAATGCAAAGAAGCAGCCATACATCAAAATGATCCAGAAAACACTGCTTTGTTCTGCAGTCTGATGACTGGAAAAAATGGATGTCACATCCTTTAGACTAAAGAAGAGAGGTACCTCCGACATGCATCACTGCCTCTGATGGAGGGCTGCGTTAGCGCCTATGGAACCGGCACGTTGGCAAGCCACCATCAGCGGCTTTTAAAGGAACAGATGCTGCCATACAGAAAACATCGTGTTCATGGACAGCCTTCCATATTCGATGATATCAACTGATATCACCAAACCCATACAGTTGTTTTCAGACAGTCAGGGGTCACTGCTTCCTAAAATAGCCGGTATTTTCCAGCTTGTTATCACCCCTAGTGGAGTGTTGGTGAGCACCCTGCAGGTTACAGTGGAAGAATACATCATGAGTTAATTTTAGCAGCATCAGAGTTCACCACAGAGACATGAGCTCGTATAAAATCAACATGGCTGAAGTTACTTTAACCATGTAGCTAAGGATTCGTCTGCATGTCTTATATAGTCGGGTTGTAGGAGTGGATCTAGTTGGTAGCTGTAATAGGTGACTTGTGCCTTGCTGTGTGAGAGGAATTCTCGGGATAAGTAGGAAAGGCGAGGGTACATGGTTCTGCTTTCAGAGGAAAAGGAGAATTCTGAAACAGAACGTGAGCTGCTGGTGTGTTTGAAATGAGAGCGCAGCAGCAGTTTATAAGATTGGCTGGTTCCGTGTATTCAGGTGGAAACAGAAGGAACTGTCACTGGGACGAGTTTTTAAAAAGCGCAGGTTCTTAATAGTGGATTGTTTCTTTCCTGCTCCTTTCCTGTAGCTGATGTTTCTGTGTTACAGCTAAAAGCTAATAATAATAATAGAGAGAGGTGGGGCCGGATACAATTTCTTCTACATTACATGGCAGCTCTGTAGAATGCAGCTTTTCAAAGCGCTCCCTGCTTGACGCCACCACGGACCTCACACAGCTGTGGGAGACTGGCTTATATAATCACATCCAATCAGGCACACTGCCAGGTCTGCACTGTACTCCTACTGTGTCCTGTCAGCTTCATACCTGTCTGATAGGTCGTCTGTCACCTCAGTTATGAGTTCAAGTCGCTTCGCTTTAGATTAATTTATTTCTTTGAAATGAGATCTGGATGAGTGGTTTAGTTTTCATGTAGGCAGAGTCTTTATCTCTTCTGCGAGGACCACACAGCGTCAGGTTTGTAGATATTATATGGGCTGATACAGGGGTTACATTTACTGCTGGTTGCCTTGAGTTGACGGTGCTTTCAGATTATGAAGTGTTTTCACATACAGAATGCAGTTTGGGTTTTGTTTTTTTTTAATTGCTACGATATTTAACAAATATCTTTGACTATGCTGTCGGCTTCATTCTGTGTCTTGCCAGATTTTTAAAGAAGAAAAGTACCTGAAGGAGGCTGTAGACTGCGGCGAGGTGATATGGCAGCGGGGCCTGCTCAGAAAAGGCTACGGTATTTGCCATGGAACCGCTGGCAACGGATACGCCTTCCTGTCTCTCTACAAACTCACCAAGGAGAAGAAATACCTGCACCGCGCCTGCAAGGTAAGACCGAGGGTAAACAAAAAAGGATTCTCAGTAGTAGACTAAATATGCACAAGCAAGAAGTGGCTCTAAAGATGCCGTGGTTAAAACTGTTGTGGATTCGTGCGTGATATGATTTTTTCTGAATAATTTAAGCTGCCCTGTTTAACAGACATAACGTTGGTCATGGCATTAAATGTATGTTCGTATTGGACACCAGAGCACCGTGAAGCCTGTTGAGAGGAGACCTGTAATGTACAGTCTTCTTACTCGTGTTTCTAATCATATGACACAGCAGCTTTTCAATGTGTGTAGTTGTGGTAAACGTATACGCTTTGAAACACCAGTAACTGCAAATGTAAAAAAGTACACAGCAGGCAGCATGGTGGTATAATAGACTGTTAACAGCTGATCTGTGGCTAAGAGACGAGCTGCGTCTCCTTTCTGGAGGTTTTGGTTTCTTAAAAATAAGAGGGAACTGGGTGGCCTCAAGCTGACATGTTTTGCCTTAAAAGGAAATCTTGTGCCACTATCTTTGAAAAAACAAGTCCAAATTGAGTTTTTTTATTCCTGGTTTCTTATATTACGGCTCACTATATATCATGATGTACTGGGGAACTACAGGACTCTTTAACAATGCAATGGAAATGTTACCATACAGATTTTTGGTCATACTGCACTGTCTAAGGTTCAAATATTGAGGAAGGAGAGTACAAACAACCATGGTCCAGAAGAGCTTGGTCAAACAATTGATTTTAATGAAATACACGTGTGGGGGGACCGGCGCCGTTCGCAGACAGCGCTGATCTCCGACTAATCAAAGCATAGGCAGATATTTTATACCATCAGGGTTTGAATTTAATGACGCCCCCTCATGCGTCATCAGATACAATATATGCATACGTCAACTCAAAACCACAAAGACTTTTAACACAGTTTGAAAAGAACATTGTCTCTGTCTTCATGGCAGATGTTTCCTGTCAACCTTTTGACTTCCACTTCTCGTCTGCAACACCAGACACACATCCTGCAAGAAACTGTTCCTCTTTTTGCAGTTGTGAGCAAACATGACTAACCTCTCACC